TTTTTTTTTTTTTCATTGGTAAATTTAAAAAAAAAATGGCAGAGAATTGAATTATATTCATTTTAAAACTTTGATCTTTGTTTTTAAAAAAAAAACAATGTTTTGTAAATGTTGAGTTAATATAAAGTTTATTTTTTCCCCTTCAAAAAAAAAACTAAAAAAAGATCAGAGAATTGATGACTGTGAAATTCACGAAAAGGGGAAAAAAAAAAAAGTAAATAAATATTGGACCAAAATTGACTTAAGAGCACGCCCCTTAGTCCAAAATAATCTCAGCTTGATTGAAACACGTTTCTTTTGAGAAATGTTTGCTTTCATTTATTTAGAACTAATTGCAACTTGGCTAACAACTGTGCACTACAAAATTAAATGTGGTGTACATTACACGCTTGCATTACATCTAAATAGAGCATTGACTTCTGATATACATACATAATATATATGTATGTATTCATGTATAAATGATTCCATATATAACTAAGAGAGAGTATATTCTTGAACGTTGTTAGTTTAGTTTGAAATGCAGCAGAATTATTTTATTGCATGCACAAAAAGATTTAGATATAGTATTTGTTTGGCATGCACTTAAAATAATATATTTATATGTATATGTATCTATATGTTATATATAACACAGGTAAATCTAACAAATTGCAAATGTTGTTCACTTTGGAATAGAGATATTTAATAAATGTTTCGCTTTGAGCTGACCCTTAACAAGTAGACAAGATATTCTATTGAGGGAGGGGAAGGTTCAGGTGGTCCACATTCGTAGACGCTACATAACGAGCACTACATTGTCTCTATACATAAGCTATATAAATATATATAAGTGTATATATATATATCTCTATATATGTTATATAAATGTTTACATAATTCTTTTCGATTCTGGCTGAGAGAACGAAACAGCCTCCATGAGTGCATTGCATATACGGCACATTTTGACAAATAACAATTGAACAATTCAATCAGAATCTGCACTTAGTCCTGATTAGCGAAATTGAGATGCATTTTACACCAATGCTTGTGCTTGTCGCCCAATTGGAACTCGACACGACGCACTGCGGCGAGAAATGGATGCGATTCACAATCAAATTTGCGCAGCTCGTTCGTTTGGCTCATGCTGTTGGGGGCCAGATAAAAGCCGGGACCGTTGGCAAGGCCCGCCAACAGGCGTAGACACTGCTCCACTATGAACTTGAGCGAGGCGCGTCGATGCAGCTCAAAGCAATCGTGCGCTCCATACAACTGCCGCTGCTCCGCACACAAACGCATATCGCTGGCAGCCACATTGCAGCAATAGAGAAAGGAGCGAAGTCGCTGAGCGCTGACTCCATTGCGATTCAGATTAGGCAACAACAGCTGCAGCAATGGCTCTGCAGCTGCATCGCAATCAGCATTTGCTGGCGCTGCCACTGCCAGCTCATAATGTTCGAGTAGCTCACGCAAGCTGCTCCACGGTGGCTGCGATTCGTCTGGCATGTAGAAGCACTGCTCGTACGCCCGACTGAGCAGCAGCTGGCGATAATGATAGCTGCTGTAGTCGGTTATATGCTTGCGTATGAACTTTTCCGTTCGCATTAGCTCCGACTGCAGCAGACAGGGCGGGGCATTCTGCAGCACCCACTGACGATGCGACCAGGCATGATAATTGCTCGCACAGCGATCGGCGGCACGTTCGCAAATGCTAATCTCATGTGGCCAGTCGATGGCATCGGCGCCTGAAAGAATACAATATATGTATATATTATATATAGATTGAAGTGCATTAAAAGAAGATGCCAGATGCGACTCACTTTGAAAAGAGTAGAGCCACCGACGATAGGCAAAGGCCTCGTTTGACTTTGGCTTGATGGACAGCACGAGCGCTGAGAATTGCAGCTCCTTGTTGATGCTTAGGCGATTCTTTTGCACCAGCTGGCGGCGTATGTGCCAAAAGGTGGTCACATCTGGATTGATCAATAGGGCCACATTCAAATACTTGGCCAGCGAATCGCTCTGCTGTTGCTGCTGCAGTGCGCGCAGTTGCTGTTGCATCGTTTGCTTGCGATGCGCGATGAGGATGCGATGCGCATGATCATACACATGCTGAGCGCACCACGATTCCAAGCCCAAGTTATGATCCACGTGCACCACGGGCGACTTGTTGCAGTTCGTTTCCTTGGGTATGATCTCAAATGAGGATCTGGAAAGGAGTTAACGATTTTATGATTGCAATTGAATATATAGAATTTCATTTCATTTGGCATTAGCTTACAAATCGGCATCCTTGAGAAATACAGCGTTTATGTCCCTGATGATCTTCTCGCACAGCACTTTCTTCTCATTGTTCAAGTCCAAATTCGTTTCGTCTTCCATTTTTGCGCTTCGATCTACGATCCGTTCCGTTCCTCTTTAGCTGCTGTCGACGATTGATCGCTTGCCTCCGTCGATTCAATTGTATTCTGCACATTTATTGCTGTCAATTAATATCTATATATTTATGGCTTTAAATTTGCCACATTTCATGTGTTCTATTTGTCTTTTCTGCTTCGCCTCTTGTCCATCAATTCAGACACGAGCCCATCTTCGAGTTGAGTTAATTAAACGATTCTATCAGAGGGGAAATTACGGCGCTAACTGGAAGCTTCACTGTGACATTTCTTTGGCAGTATAGGTATGTATCGTTCCCATTCGAAACGACGGCCTTAGCTCGGCGTTGATAAATAAATTTCAATTAAAATTGAATCTATTTGCTGGTTACTACTGCTGCTGTTGCTGTTGCTGTTATTGTTGTTATTTGTTTTTAACGAATCAGCATTACGGCGTTCAACACTTTTATTCAATCACGCATAATTCTTGTTGTTTTTGCTGCTGCTGCTATTTTTGTTGTTGTTCTGTATTTGGCATCAATTCGCATAAAGCGCCAACCGAACACGTTAAACAAATATGCAGTTTTGTAAATAAATATGCTTTCCTGCTTATTGTTGTTATTAATATCGTTGTTGGTCTGGTAGTATCGATGGCTCACGACATGAAAACATCGATTACACGTAAATCGCATGCCTTCTTCAGTGTTCCCGGTTAAGGTATGAAAAACCGGAAAAACAATATTTTATAGCAAAAACATCATCAATTAATTCGAGGCACATTTAATTTGAGTATATAATTTAGATTGTTAATACACTTGTGAGTATTACTGTCTGATAATTTTTAAACGCTTTTCAGCTTTAACACTTAATTAGGAGTGCTGAATTCGGTATTTTTAACGGCTGCCGATCAGCTGATATAACAATGTGACCAATCTACAGACAACGATCGTTATCGATATAAGTCTATCGAAATTTGCATGCCCATCATGTTGTTGCCTTCCACGTGCGCGCGCGCTGACGCCAATTAACTACGAAGACATTAAAATCAACATGACTAGCTTCCAGCCACTTAATATAAGACGATTTCAACAGAAGGCGCAGGTGGTCACGCCCGATACAATTTACTGGGATCGTTTAGCGGTAAGCTCATTGTTCTTATTGCAGATATAATCAAAGTAAACATAAGACACTTCACCGAACAGAAACCCGAACTGCTGAAGGAGCATACAACGATAGACTATATTGACTTCAGTCCCAGTGAACCGAGTAACTTTGTGCTGACCTGTTCGGTGCGTGTGCAAATCTACAATCTGGTGACCAAGCTTGTGGTCAAGAACTTGTCACGTTTCCAAAAGACCGCATACGGCGCTAATTTCCGTCAGGATGGTCGGCTGCTGGCCGCCGGCGACGAAGAAGGACATGTTAAAATCTTCGACACGACCAGCCGTAACATATTGCGGCTATTCAAAGGCCACAATGCGCCCGTGCATCGCGCCTTCTTCACCGCCGACAAGCTCCAGCTGGCAAGCTTCGCGGACGATAAATCTGTCCGGCTCTGGGATGTGGCGAACGAGAAAGTGGTGCAAACATATGAAGATGCACACACCGATTATATAAGAGCCGGTGCAATGCACCCGCAGTCATCTCACATGTTCATCTCTGGCGGCTACGATGGAAAAATCAATCTGTACGACACACGCGCCGAGAAAGCCATCACCCATACTCTGGACCATGGCAGCCCAGTTGAGTCGATGCTGTTTCTGCCCAATGGCTCGATATTCATCACGGCCGGCGGCACACAGGTGCGTGTTTGGGACTTGATTAGCGGCAGTCGCCTGCTGACGACCATGTCGCAGCACCACAAGACAATCACTTGCCTGAGCCTTGGCTCTGATGGCCGACGCCTGCTGTCCGGCGGTTTGGATCGTCATGTGAAGATCTACGATGTGAGCACATACAAAACTGTGCACACTCTGACCTATCCAAATGCTGTTGTTAGCCTGGGCGTTGCTGCCAAGGATCAGGCTGTAGTTGCCGGCATGGTCGATGGCCTTGTCTCCATTAAGCGTATGATTGTCGAAAGCAAACCGAGTCACCTGAAAAAGATCAGGGTCAGTTACCGGAAACAACGTTTGCAGAAGATGGCACGTCCGGCGACGGGTGTGCCAGTCGATCATGTGATATCCGACAAAAGCAAAGGTAACAAACTGCAGAAGTTCGATATCCATCTGCGCAAATATAACTACAAGAAGGCCCTCGACTGTGTCTGCACACCGTTAAATGTTAAGAAACACCCGGAGATGGTTGTGGCCGTCATTACGGAGCTGCAACATCGCGGTGCGCTACAAGCCGCATTAACCGATCGCAAAGATATAACTATAATCCGATTCATCAATTTCCTTTGCAAACATCTCGGCGAGGTGCGCTTTATGCGCCCGCTGCTGAATGCAGCCAGCGCTGTGATGGATGTGTTTGAGAACAATGCCTTTGCCTACAACAAACCCATGATAGCCGCCCTGGAGCGACTCAAACGGACCATGAAATCGGAGGTGCAGCTCACCTGCCAGCTGCTCCAAATCAAAGGTGCTCTCGAGATGATCATTGGCGGCGCCCTTGACAACAACGAGTCCAGCACTAATCACAGCTACACCCAGCCAATTCCGACCAAAATGCATCCCTCAAAAGCAGCCTCCAACTACATAGTCATTGTCGACTGATCGCTAGGTCGATTGAGCTATGTCTAAGATTAATTTCTAACATTAGTTTTACTGCAGTGAAATCTATTTATGTTTGCATTTCATTCATTTACCTAAGCTTAAATTGTACAAAGCTAAATACTGTTTTTTTTTTCTGGTTTAGTCAAGCCTAAAGTGAAAATGTTCTCACAATTCGGATAGATCGGATAAATTGAAATCCTTAATGTGAACATAGAAAAATAAATAGATAAATGTTATTTGAATTTCTTGTGGTTTTTGTATTTCAATATTATTATATGTATATATATCATTTTGTGTTAACTCGGAAAGTTTTTAGGCCACCCTCGTTTATGGTCATTGCGTTAAATAGTTTGGTTGTAACTTCAATATTTCCAATTAATATGCTATATAATTTTATTCTTTTTCTTTCGCAGTTTATTTTTATTGGGCTGTTTTTACTTTGTATTTGTTGCTTTTTGTTTACGGTTATTTGGAAAGACGAATTTACAGTTAGAATTTGCTTACGCTCGTGGTGTTTTGTTGTTGCTGTATTTGTTTTGCTTACGATTTTTCGTTTATTTCTCTGTTGTTATTATCGCTTAACGTTTAACTCCTCTAGTTGTATATGCTACACATATGTATATTTATTTATATATAAGCATATACATATACATATATAGACATATATGTTTATGCACTATAACTACATCCGCAATCGCAATCTCTTAAAGCTAGTGCGAAATATATAAGGTTACAAGATTAATAACTAAAAAAAATATTAGTATATTACGTTACTTAGCTAATTACAACTAGGTATATGCAGGTGTGTGTGTGTGTATGCCTTGTCTCTTCGTCCTTCCGCTGCTGACGCACGGTCCTTCCATCCACTACTCATCCATCCAGTGTCCCGTGGTGAACCAGAATACCAGGTCACTTCCATACATAGAGCACACCTTCAATCCGCGTTAAATTGGTACACCTACATTACATATACATATGCATAAATTGCCTTTACATTTACACGCGGCTATTGGTGCTGCTGTTGCAATGGTTGTTGTTGTTGTTGCTGCTGTTGCTGATGTTGTTGTTGTTGTTGTTATCATTATCATAATCGGTAATTGTTAATTATTGCTGCTAACTGTACAATTTTATCGTTTACAAATATAAATATATTATTTATTTATTTAATCTTCTTTTTTTTTTTAATATATATTCGAAGCAATGTATTTCTTAATAAATTTTGAACGAGAGGATCTTTAAAAAAAATGTAACAAAAAATCTCTTACAGGTAACATAGAAGATTTTGAGAAGAATTGCATGATTTCGCTGCTATAACTTTTTTCCTACTATACATAAATTATCAAGCGATGAAAGTCAGACAGAATGACAAATTAAACGCTTCACATAATACAATAAATGTTAAAACGAAGAGAAAAAAAAGAAAACATAAACAATTGCATTCAATCAATACGATATGCGTATATGCATATCCACATGCACCGCAACATTCTTACATCAATTAGCTTCAATGTATGTGTGTGTGTATGTATGTATGTATATATACCGACGTATGCACAACATATGTCACAGCATATATATATACAAATATATGTATATATGCAAATATTTGTTGTTTTCCTTTTTTTATCAAGTATACACAAATTGCAGAACTTATTTTGGACGACGCGCTGTCCATTATATAAATAATGTTTGAATGGCGGGTTCGATTTGAAATGATGATGATGATGCTGCTTCAAATGATGCTGCAGCTCCGACTACTGCAGCTGCTTGTGCTGCTGCGCTGCTGTGCTGGCCTCCGCTTCTTCTACTGATACGCTCTGTATGTGGCTTATCTAGCCGCATGTGTCTGGTGTTTTCGGGGTAGGTGTTTTGTTTTGTTTTTTGTTAGTTTGTGTATATATATAAATATTGCATGTATCTATATGTTATACATATATATACAATATTGTATC